GACCCTGTAGATTTCGAGTGACCTTCCAAGTTTTGGAATGGAAACATCGTATAATTTCCTTCTCGATAGGACCTGGATTCACACTGGAGCTATTCCCCCCACGCTCCACTAGATGCTCAAATTTGAACACGACAATCAGGAAATTGTTATCCACGGAGAATATGGGCAATCCATTTATCGGGACCCCTCAGTCCCGTGTCTTGAAGCTAGAGAGGGCAGTGAACATATTGTATATCAGTCATTTGAAATTGTGGCCGCCGATCAATTCAAAGAAGGGCCCCGTTGCCTCAGCCTTGTCTATCCAGTGCTCCTATGATGGTTGACACCTAGATGATAAAAACCGGGTACAAACCAGGAAAAGGGTTAGGGGCATCTCTACAGGGCATTATCGAGCCCATCTCCCAATGATGAATGAGAAAAATTTTGGGTTAGGTTTCCGACCCACGTCAGCTGACAGAATATGGGCCAAAGAGCGCAAAGAAAACGTATGGGTCCTGTCAAAGCCTATCCCACATCTCTCCCAGTCATTTGTCAAACTCAAGTATGAGGAAGAAGAAGAGGCCTTCACAATCGAAGAGATAGATGAAATTTGTGGAGCTTTGAAGCAGATGCTATATGAGTACCACAGGCTTGCCCATAATGTGAATCTCTACTAATATAGTCTCACTCGATCTAAAATCAATTAGGACTTTATATGGTTGTAATGTGGGCTAAAGGGCGGGTAGGATATATTTAGGATTAGTGGTTCACCCTCCTAAGCACTTTAACACATCACATGATAAATTTAAGCAAAATTCTTCAATCCACTTCAATTTCACAAACAAGATCACTACCCAAAAGTATTCCCTCTTTCTTTAAGCACTACTTTAATTTATACCCCACTAGCAAGAACAAAACAACAATTTATTCATCTCTATCTTTTTCTTCAATTTCGCTAGTGGTGTATTATTCTACAAAACAAGTGCACCTTTCTGTCTTTCTTTCATTGGTTCCACTCGAAAGCCATCCCACACTTAGTCCTTACTTTTTCTAGCGCTCATTTCATAATTAAAGTGATTTTAGAGGTAACAGGATCAAAATAATGTCAATTAAGAACAAAAGGGTATAAACTCGTAACGTGGGTGCCAATTAAAAGTCTATAGGCTCAAAAGTGTTTACTAGGGATAAATTTTATTTGTGATAAGCAATTAAGCTCAAAAAGATCAAAGAATGTCTTAAATCATTTTTCAAATCGAGCATCACTAAAAGATTTCAATTTGACTCATATACCGGGCAAGTTCTAGACTCAATCACGATAACATGGACTACACAAAATCTCACTTCCCACATGGAAAATGACTCACTAAGGATGGTCTCATTCTAACTCTCAAATAATGCAAATATTCACAAAGCCACAAGATATTAAGCATTAAGCACAAAGTGAACAATAGTCAAGTAAAATAGACATAGGCACCATAACAAGCTATCCAATTTCATCAAGGCATCATGAACAATTTCAAAACATAGGGAAGATACTCCACATGCCAAAACCTAAATATGCTACTATCAAATAAGTCAAAGGAGCCTAAGGTCATCAATCTTCCTCTTTTTATTTCCTAAATTCCTAATCTACTCTAAAAAAATAAAATAAAAACTACTACCCAGTTCAAACTACACCCCATGAAAAAGAACCGATGCACAAAGAAAAACCACGGGGAATCATTACTACCTAAAGGAAAATAAAAGACAGGTTTTTGGATTTTTTTTTCTTGTTTTTCAATTTTTTTAATTTTTTTTATTGGACCTTAATCCATCGAGAGAACTATCCAGGTAGTCCGTCGTCGGGAAAAGTCCACTATTTTCTGATTTTTTTTACATGAATCCACTCAGAAAATAATTCTCCTACCCCACACTTGTATTATGCATAGTCCTCGATGCATGATCATGGAGAAAAATATTAAAATAAGGATGAGAAATACTCTCTAAGACCCTCTAGGGCCTAGCTAGCAACATGATCCTCAATATTTAGGGTCGAGATGACCCCACACTTAAGCTCAAACATGCTCCTCAACTTCAACTTCAGGTACTTAGACTTCCCCTAATCTGCAAACAAAAACAAAACAAAACGGGACACTATAAATACAACAAAATTTACACCTACCAGATAAAAAAATTAAGGAAATCCAAAAAAAAATCAAAAATACATAAACGAAAGGGAAAAGTTAGTAACTATGGAAGCAAAATAAAATGCTTGGGTTGCCTCCCAAGAAGCGCTTCATTTAACGTTGCAGCACGATGATACCACTCCTCAAGAATCCTTCAGTGCAATTGAGGACTTGTGACAATCCACATCACCACCCCAATAACGCTTGATCTTTGCCCATTGACCAAGAATGTCCTCTCGGAATTTGGCACTCTTAAATCTATAGCCCCGTATGGTGTCACTTGCACTATTTCAAAAGGTCTTGACCATCTCGACTTTATTTTTTCAGGAAGCAACTTCAACCTGGAATTGAATAGCAATACCAACAGGCTCGGCTCGAAATGGCGAAGCTTGATGTGCTTGTCATGCCACCTTTTGGTCTTTTATTTATATAGCTTGGCATTCTCATATGCATTTAGCCTGAATTCATCTAGCTCATTGAGTTGGAGCAATGTCTTCTCACCCGCCAACTCCATATCCATATTGAGATTTTTGATGGCCTAAAAGGCCTTGTGTTCTAGCTCAACTGGAAGGTGACACATAGATCAACTTGTAAGGTGAGGTACCAATAGGTGTCTTGTATGCAATCATATACGCCCATAGAGCGTCATCCAACCTTGTCAATCTTTCCTATTTGCACTGACCGTTTTCTCCAAAATTTTCTTTATTTCTCTGTCCGATACCTCTGCTTGCCCACTCGTCTGAGGGTGATATGCGGTGGCAACTTTGTGCTTGACCCGTATTTAGCTAGTATGTTATTCAAAAGTCTATTGCAAAAATGTGTACCTTCATCACTTACTAGAGCTCGAGGAGTCCCCAAACATGTAAAAATATTCTTCTTGACAAAATTAGTCAACACCTTCGCATCATTAGTAGGTAAAGCAATAGCCTCCATCCACTTAGAAACGTAGTCCACTACTAGCAAGATGTATTTATTCCCCCTAGACGATGGGAGTGGTCCCATAAAATTGATCCCCCAAACGTCGAAAATCTCCACCTTAAGAATTTTCTTAAGCGACATCTCATTTTTTTCTAGTGATTGTTCTAGTTCTCTAACACCGATCACACTTCTTTACAAATAAATGGGCATCTTTACATAGAGTCGGCCAATAAAATCCCGATTGGAGGACTTTTGCAGCTGTTCTATCACCACCATGATGTCCCCCAAAAGTTGAGGAGTGACAATCGTACAAAACCTGTTCCATTCCCTTCTTCGGAATGCATCTCCTCATCAGTTGGTTAACACATTGTCGATACAAGAATGGCTCATCCCAGAAATAGTAGTTTATGTCATGTAAGAATCATTTTCTCCCTTCAGGTGGCATTTCTGGAGGAAGTACTTCGCTCACTATGAAATTTACATAATTCGCATACCATGGTGGCAGATCATATGTGACTGCAAAGAGTTGCTCATATGAACGTCTCCTGGATCACCCCTCCTTTCCACATGCTCATGATTTTCTAGCCTTGACAAGTGGTCAACCACCTGATTCTTTGTGCCCTTCCGATCACGGATTTCCAAGTCAATTTCCTGCAAAAAAAGTACCCGTCTAATCAGTCTCGGTTTAGCATCTTTTTAAGATCAAATACCAGATCGCCATATGATCCATGTACACGATCACATGCGCTCCTACTAAGTAGGATAGGAACTTGTCAAAAGCATAAACAACTGGCAACAATTCTTTTTTGTCATGGTGTAATTGAGTTGTGCATCCGTTAGGGTCTTGTTGGCATAATAGATTGAGTGAAACACTTTGTTCTTGCTCTGTCCAAGCACAACCCTAATTGCTACGTCACTCGCATCACACATCAACTCAAATGGCAGACTCCAATCAGCTGCATTAACGATTGGCACATATAGCAACTTCAATTTTAGTTCCTCGAATGCCTTCACACAAGCATTATTAAACTTAAATGCGGCATCCTTTTCTAGCAACATGCACAAGAGATTAGCAGTTTTCGAAAAATCTTTAATGAAATGTCTATAAAAACTTGCATGTCCCAAGAAACTCCGGACACCCTTTACAGAATTGGGTGGAGGTAATTTTTCAACTGCCTCCACCTTTGCCTTTTCAACTTCAATGCTGCTTCTTGACATTCTATGGCCTAACATGATGCCTTCTTGTACCATAAAATGGCATTTTTCCTAATTTAACACCAAATTTGTTTCTTTACAGCGGGCTAGCACCTTGCTCAAATTCTTCAAACAATTATCATAAGAAGACCCAAAGATTGAAAAATCATCCATGAAGACTTCAACAAATTTTTCTACCATATCAGTGAATATAGCCATCATGCACCTCTGGAAAGTGGCTGGCGCATTACAAAGGCTAAACGACATTTACTTGAAAGCGAAAGTACCATAAGGACATATAAAAGTGGCTTTATCCTGATCCTCTGAGCAGATGACAATCTGGCTGTACCCCAAATAACCATCAAGGAAACAATAATGTTCATGCCCCGCCAATCTGTCCAACATTTGGTTAATGAATGGAAGTGGGAAGTGGTCCTTGGGGGTTGCTTTGTTGAGCCTTCTGTAGTTAATGCAAATCTCCACCCCGTCATGGTGGGAGTAGGAGTTAGCTCATTTTTCTCATTCTCTACAACTATCATCCCATGTTTTTAGGCACACATTGTACTAGGCTTACCCAGTTGCTGTCAGAGATAAGGAAGATGATACTTGCATCAAGCCACTTAATTACTTTCTTTTTCACAACCTTTTTCATAATGGGATTTAATCTCCTTTGTTGCTCAACACTCGGGTGGTGTCTATCTTCCAAAAAGATTTTATGCATGCAAAATGATGGATTGATTTCTTTTATTTAGCAATTGTCCACCCAATAGTCTTTTTATGCTCACGAATCACTAAGAGAAATTTTTCTTCTTGCACCTCGGTCAAGCTGGATGAGATAATCGTTGGCAATATCTTAGAGTTCCCTAAATAGGCATAGCACAGATGCGTTGTACGGGGCTTAATCTCTAGATTAGGAGCTTCTTTTATAGATGGCTTAGGAGGGGTTAGAGTAATAGGCATGTCCAACTTCTCAAATCTCCCAAACCCATGGACATAACTGCAAGACATGTTAAGTGCTTGCTCAATTTCTTCCATCAACTCATCTTCATTGTCTTTTTCATCCCCAATCAAGGCTCGTTCAAGAGGATCTACAGGGCTCATATAAGGCACCAATGACATCACATCACTTTTCACCACAGAAATCATGGATAGCCCTTCATAGTGGGTTGGCAATCTAAGTGTTTTATACATACTGAATACCTCCAGTCGATCATCCACTCTCATCGTCATCTTTTCTTCGTATACATCAATAATAGCTTGGTCTGTGGCTAAGAATGGACGCCGTAAAATAAATAAGACTTCTTGATCAGGTTCATAGTCCAAAATAATAAAATCAGCAGGGAATATAAAAGAACCCACTTGAGCTAACACATCTTCAATTACACCTTCAGGATGAGCGAGGGAGCGATCAGCCAACTGTAAAATCACCATGGTTGGGTACGGATCACCCAACCCGAACTTTTTGAACACAGATAGCGGCATCAAATTGATGCTCGCCCCAGGATCACACAAAGCTTGCTCGACTGCGTGCTTACCAATCGACATTTTGATAGTGAAACTACCTAGATCCTTCAATTTCTGAGGTAGCTTGCTTTGAATTCTTGAGCTACATTCTTCAGTGAGTGCCACAATCTCGAACTCTGTCAAGCTTCATTTATTTGCTACTATGTCCTTGATGTATTTGGCATATTTGGGCACTTTTAACAGGATGTCTACTAGGGGAATATTGATTTGCACCTGCTTTAAAATATCAAGAAATATTTTATAGGCCGCATTATCCTTCACCTTCTGAAATCTCTAAGGGAAAGGAGGTGGTGGCTTCACAATTATTGGTTGTGGTTGCTTTGCCACAACCTTTTCAACTGGCTTCTCCGACTATTTTGCAGTTTCCGATTCGACTTCTGTGGTGGGTTGTTTTTTCATTAAACTTCACTTGCTTTTTCTTCTTCGATGGGACTTCTTATAATTCTCTCCCATTCCTTAATGACACATCATCAATAGGAGCCTTGTAATTAGACTAAGTGTCGCTAGGTAATGCTCATGCTGGTCTAGTGTTTTAGGCACTAGCAAGTTGCCCCATCTGTCGCTCCAAATTTCGAATAGCTGCTGAGTGGGCTGTTGCTTGGGCCTATTGGTTAGCCATCAAATTTTTAGCATCTCCTCGATGTGACTCATTGAGTTTGTAGGTTGGTCAGCTTTTGGTTCTCTATATTGCTGTTAAGGGGTTTGTGGCCTGTAGGGATTCTGAGCAGCTTGGGTTCCACCCCAAGAAAAGTTTGTGTGGTTCCTCCAGTTAGGATTGTAAGTGCTACTATATTGATTCTGATTACCTTGGCCCCTATTAGCATTCCCCACAAAGTAAACTGACTCTGGATTCACTAGACAAGTATCATTTGTATGCTCATCGCCATAGACTTCGCAGAACACCTACACCTACTGCACGGGTTGAACTTGTTACATTGGTTGGAATTGGTGTTGGTTTTGAGCCATACTCATCCTAGTAATTTGATTTGCTAAAGATGCTACCTGTTCCAGATAGTGCTGATACAACATCCAATTCAAGTACCTCATCAGCTTTATGGGTTGTGTGTGTACCTACTTCCCCATGCCAATATGGGTTGCTTTTGGAAAACTTGTTCAGCAGTTTATAAATCTCATCAAATCTCTTTTCCAACACTTGACCACCAACTGCTATGTCTGTCACTATTTTTGTTTCAGAGTGAAGACCTTCAATAAAAGTGTGAGCCAGTACTTCATTGGTTTGGTTATGGTGTGGACAGTCTCTTAGTAGCCCCTTAAATCGCTCTCAGGCTGCATAAAGTGATTCACCTTCTCTCTATTTGGATGTAACTATCTCACTTCTTATCTTTGCGGTTACCAGAAGGAAAGAACCTAGCCAAGAATTTGCAAGCCATGTCGTTCCATGATGCAATAGAGTTAGATGGCTCAGATTTCAACTATCGCTTAGACTCTCCCAATAGAGAAAAATGGAATAATATGAGTCTAACATAATCAGATGTGACCCTGTTAGTGATATAAATATCACTAATCTCTAGAAAATTCAGAATAGGTTTTTGGGGGTCCTCGTGTGGCGATCCCATGAACTGTCCATTTGCATGAAGTAGCTGGATCATGCTCTGATTAAGCTCAAAATGCCCATTGATCCCCGGCTTAACGATATTGGATGTGACGTTAGCAATGCTGGGCATAACCACCTCTTGTACCTCCAATGGGTGTTCATGCACCATTTCAACAGGAAGTTGAATGAGTGCTTGTAAATTATTTGTTTCCCGAGTTTCTCTCAATCTTCTGAGAAATGCTCTCTCAAGTTCTAGGTCAAAATTTTATAGTCTATCCTGGCTTCTAACCTGTTGCATTTAAGCAAAGTACCTGATATCAAACACCCAACCAAAAAGAAGATCAAAAACTTAACTCGATGAGTAGTAAAAGCTTAATCTAGTAAAAAAAATTAATTTTTAAGTCCCTGGCTACGGTGCCAAATACTTATTGCCCAAAATTGCACACGCAAGTATACACGTTCAATCAAGTAATAAAGAGTGAGTAGAGTATCGTTCCCACGAGGACTTATAATCAATTTCTAACTAAATCAAGAAAATTCTAATTTATCGAGTCAAGAACAATTTCAAGTTGATTTTTGTTTGATTAATTCTACTAACTGAATATGCGATTAAAAAGAAGAAAGAGTTAACTAGCACACTTAGCACAAAGAGTTGAATTCAATGAGAATAATATTCCAGGAGTATGACTGGCTAACACTCCTATTGAATTCTTCAATCGACTCGACATATTGATTTATCTGGGTTATTAACTTGCAAGGACAATAATACTCGTAGAAATTTGACAATTTCTACTCGCCTATTCAATTTATTCTAACCCCTATATTCTTATGAGATTAGAGATAAAAAAACGCATTAATAATCTCTTGCAAAATTGCCTAAGCGCGGCAAATAGGTATATTTCTATTTGTATTTGCAAATCAATTCCCCAATGACTAGGTCCAAGATCGCGCTTTATTCAATCCTATTGCAATCAAGAATTACGTCTTTCAAGTTCAACTCAAGATTTATATATAATATTTCGTTGTTATCTAAGAAGTAAAATAATTAAACTCAGGATATGAATAAATAACCCAATATGATAAATTAACTCATCATATCAATATTCGAATATCAACATTCATGTAAAACCATAATCCTAGAATAAAAGAGTTTAGCCACACATAGTCATAGTAGAAATCTCAATCATTTCCCAAGAATGCATAAAAATCAATAAAAGGAGGGAAAGGAAGAACTCAAGAGGAATTCCGTGGTTTCCAAGCTCTTTGATGGCTCTCCACTTTTTTCCAGCGTGTTAACTCTTCCAAAATGGCGGCCCTTCCTTAAAATAGGTTTTATCCATGTTGGGGGGGGGGGGGGG